TATTTTTAGTAGAGACAGGGTTTCACTGTGTTAGCCAGGATGGTCTTGATCTCCTGATCTCATGATCTGCCTGCCTCTTCCCAAAGTGCCGGGATTACAGGTGTGAGCCATCATGCCCGGCCACAGTAATTCTTCTGTAGCTCTCTAAAGATATATATTTCATGAGCCTCATTTATTTCTAGCAAGGTACAAGAGTGAAATTTAACTGCATGTGAGAATATAAGCAGCTCATGCCTGTAATCCCAGCACTTTAGGAGGTCAAGGTGGGAGAATCACTTGAGCCCAGGAGTTTGAGACTGGCTTGGGCAACATGGCAAAACCCTGTCTCTACAAAAAATACAAAAATTGGGTAAGCATGGTCACGACCGTGTCTCTACAGAAAATATAAAAATTAGCCAGGTATGGTGGTGCATGCTGTGGTCCCAACTTGGGAGGGTGAGGTAGGAGGATTGCTTGAGCCCAGGAGGTGGAGCTTGAGGTGAGCTGAGATCACACCACTGCACTCTTAGCTGGGGTGACAGAGCCAGACCCTTTCTCAAAAAAAAAAAAAAAAAAGTATATATATGAACATTTTAATACTGCAATGATGAAATTTCATTTGATTCAGAAGGTGTGTTCTGATTCCTAGAAAAGGAAAAAGTTAAATATGATTATGGACTCGCAGTAGAGTGTAATGATTAAGAAGATAGGTTTCAGAGTCAGACTGCCTGGGTTCAAATTCTGGATAAGTCATTTATGTTTTCTGGTGACAATGGACTAGCTAACTTTTCCAGGCTTTAGTTTTCTCTTATGTAAAAAAAGGGACCAATAATCTACTTTCCTTCTAGGGTTGTTGAGAAGATTAAATGTAATAATTTAGATAAGTTTTGGAACAGTGCCTGGTATGTGGTAGGTGCTCAATAAATGCAGCTATTACTGTTACAATGAAGTGTAAATTGTTACAGTGCAATAGACTTTCTGGTGGTTCTGTTTGTAAATATGCCTTGAAAGTTAATTACATATCCAAATAAAATTTATACATACGTTGAACATTTTGAGATGCTCTACAAATGTGAAGTGGTACTATATTCATGTAGTAAGTATCAAATAATTGTGTGAAATTATATTTGAGGTTGTCTTGTTTCTCTGTGTGCCTGTTTGACAAACAATTGTCTTTCCTAGTTAAAGCATTTAAAAAGATTCTATAGCATTCCTTTATCAGTAATATTTTTAATACAGTATGTTTCATTTTGCATATGGAAAAACTTGAGGAATTTTTTATTTTGTTTTGGATAGCCTATTCGCTATCACTTATGTTATATTCTGATGTTTTTTCATGGTTCTTCTTTTCTTTGCTGGATCTGGAGGCATGGGCAGCAAGAAACTAAAACGAGTTGGTTTATCACAAGAGCTGTGTGACCGTCTGAGTAGACATCAGATTCTTACCTGTCAGGTAAATTCTATTTAAAATTTCCATTGAGAAGTTTTATGCACAACTTAACTTTATACCTTAATACCTCTTAAACTTGAAATATGAGAATGTAGGCTTACGAAAACAACATAAATGATGGTGCTTTTCCATAGGCTAATTGTAAATATCAAGCCTCCTTGGGTACATTTCCAATTGTGACTTCATTTACCCAAATTTAGTATTTTTGCATTTTGAGGGGAGAGTGGTCATGGCATAAGGTGAAGTACACCTTTGCTGTTTATTTGTAGTTACATGAGAAATAGAACTCAAATGAGGAGATACTATTTAAAATGTATCCTTTCTTTTATAAAAGCAAGAGAAATTAATAGTTAGACCATTTTCTTATTGATGAAGCATGAGAAATGTATACAGAAGATCTTGCAAGGTAGTGAAGCAAATCCTCCTTAGCAGAGTAAATAAGATTTAAGGGTTTTGGTTGTTTGTATTTTTTTGAGACTAGGTTCTCATGTTGCCCAGGCTGATCTCAAACTCCTGGACTTGAGCAGTCCTCCGGCCTCACCTCCCAAGTAGCCAGGATTATAGGCATATGCCACTGTGGCTGGCTAGATTTAAGGTTTTATCTTAGGATCTTATCCTTTTGTTTGTTTGTTGGTTGGTTTTTGAGTGAGTGTCTTGCTCTGTTGTCCAGGCTGGAGTGCAGTGGTGCCATCTTGGCTCACTGCAACCTCTGGCTCCTAGATTCAAGTGATTCTTCTGCTTCAGCCTCCTGAGTAGCTGGGATTACAGGCGTGTGCCACCACATCCAGCTAATTTTCATATTTTTAGTAGAAATAGGGTTTCACCATGTTGGCCAGGCTGGTCTCAAATTCCTGATCTCAAGTGATCTGCCTGCCTCAGTCTCCCAAAGTGCTAGGATTATGGACATGAACCACTGTGCCCAGCTTGATTTTATCCTTAACAAGACATTTTCACAGAGCATTCTGCAACTTTTTTTTTGAATTGCTTTCTATGTTAAAGATATCTTTGGTTCCTTTGTTACACATTTAATTATTTGCATGTTTATATTCGGAAATATTCTTAAAAGTGTGAAATTTGATATTTCATCCTATAGTCAGTTTCATTCTTTTTCACTTACGAAACATTATCTCTGAGTGAACTTCTAACTTAGAAAGAAACTCTTTCAACCTGATACTTTCTGGGCTTATATTTGTACCCAAATTCTTTTTGGCATAATGTAGTGCTCATATACACCTGGATTGGATACTGCTGCTATGTGATGTTATTTGGCGTATCCTCTGGTACATGCCAACGAAACAGGATAATTAGAAGATAAGTCTGTGTCATTATAACTTTTAGTTAAGGCATATTTTTGGGGAAAATACTATAATGAATGCATAAATCTTTGATCTGCAATAAATTACACTTTTGTCTACATGAGCAGTATCAATTGAAGGTTTCCTTTTAACTCTAATATCTTTGTTACACATATATGTTTAAAATCTTCTCTTTATGTTTCTTTAGGACTTCTTATGTCTTTCCCCACTGGAGCTTATGAAGGTGACTGGTCTGAGTTATCGAGGTGTCTGTGAACTTCTATGTATGGTCAGCAGGGCCTGTGCCCCAAAGATGCGAACGGTATATATATATTTTATTATAATTTGATTATGAATGATTTTTCATCTCATTAAACTTTTTTTTTTAGGATGAGGCACATGCAGAAATAGAGGTGAGTACCTAAAAAGTATTGAGTTTCCTACCTTAGAAGTTAGTTCTCTAAGGAAAATACATGTGAAAATTTTTTTCTTTTTGAGATGGGGTCTCACTCTGTTGCCCAGGCTGGAGTGCAGTTGCATGATCTTGGCCCATTGCAGCCTTTGCCTCCTGGGTTCAAGCGATTCTCCTGCCTCAGGCTCCCAAGTAGCTGAGATTACAGGCATGGTGCTACAACACCCAGCAAATTTTTTTATTTTTAGTAAAGATGAGGTTTCTACTTTGTTGGCTAGGTTGGTCTCAAACTTCTGACCTCAAGTAATCTGCTTGCCTTGGCCTCCCAAAGTGTTGGCATTACAGGCGTGAACCACCACACCTAGCCTATCTGTAAAAAATTTATGTAATTTATAAACTCGTGGAAGACAATTCCTAAATTTTGGAATTAGGGAGCAACAGAAAGTTTTTATTTTTGCAGCCAATAGCAGTAGTTCAAAAGGACACTTTTCTCTAATTGATTAGATAGTATTTGAGGGCCTCATAGTTAAATTGTAATATATTCTTAATTTTAGAATGCCCCTTTCTTTGATATAGGGACCTTTACCATCATCACTTGCTGTAGATTATAAAGCACACATAATTGTACTTGCTAGTTGATTGAATAAAAGATAATTAAATATTTATTCTTTATTCTTAAGAAATTTGAAGTCTTTTACAAAAGCCCTCATCAAATCGTACGTGTTTTCAGACTTTCTGTGTCATGACTGTAGCTTTTCAAAACGTAGACTTGGAGCATGATAGAAAATACCTTGTTTTCCCACAGTAAGATTTTCCTAACATTATGTTCAGTGCTTTGTAAATGTATTTATTTATGTGGACTATAAGTTACTTACCTTACTACCTTATACTGAAATTTACTGAACACCAAACAATGAAGTACAATTCTCTGAAGAAGGGGAGAAGGAAGGAATGTTAGTGTCATTTGAAACTTCTGAAAACAATAAACAGATGTTTGAACAACAAATAGTTTCTTTTTTTTTTTTTTTTTTTTTGAGATGAGGGCTGGCTCTGTTGCTCTGGCTGGAGTGTAGTGGTGTGATCTTGGCTCACTGTAACCTCCACCTCCTGGGCTCAAGCCATCCTCCCACCTCAGCCTCCCAAGTAGCGGGGACTACAGGTGCACATCACCGTGCCCAACTAAGTTTTGGGTTTTTTTTTGTGGAGATGGGGTTTCACCATGTATCCCATACTGTTCTTGAACTGATGAGCTCAAGTGATCCTCCTGCCTTGGCTTCCCAACTGCCGGGATTACAGGCATGAGCCACTGTGCCAAGCTGATCAACAGTTACTTTCTTTTATTCAGATTTAACTTGTGATCTGAGGAAACTATCTGAAAGACAGGGTAGTCAGAAGGAGAATCAGAATTGGAGATAGAAATTGGCACTAGTCTTAGCTTTATCATTGATTTCATTGCTTTGAATAGTTTTCTTTGTTTTATGGGAGAAAACAAGTTAAAATACTATGCAATGATTCTGTGACTAGATTCAAATTAATTTGTAATTACTTTGAAGGTTGTAAAGCACCAGAAAAACCTTTAATTTGTCATATGTCATTGTAATTGGTCAATATGCATGGCATATTTCCAGTTAAGTAATTAAATAAGAGATCATGGTCCCAAAATTCAACTTTAATTTCTACTTCCATCACTACCTTCAGCTGCCATCTTAATACAATTTCAAATACAATTCAAGAAGCCATCTTTCTCATATGGTTTACATTCATTCTTGTAGCATTCCTTATATTTCAGCCCTGCCTTAAACATTGGCTTCGGTTTTTTTTTATTCTTAAACATTTATCGTAAGTTCCAGGGTATATGTGCAGGATGTGCGGGTTTGTTACATAGGTAAATGTGTGCCATGGTGGTTTGCTGTACAGATCATCCTAGGTATTAAGCCCAGTATCCGTTAGCTATTCTTCCTGATGCTCTCCCTACCCCCTGCAACCTTTGACAGGCCCCAGTGTGTGTTGTTCCCTTCCATGTGTCCATGCGTTTTCATTGTTCAGCTCCTACTTATAAGTGAGAACACACAGTATTTTGTTTTCTACTCCTGCATTAGTATGCTGAGGATAATGGCTTCCAGCTCCATCTATGTGTCTGCAAAGGACATAATCCCATTCCTTTTTATGGCCTCATAGTATTCCATTTGTATATGTATCACATTTTATTTTATTTATTCAGTCTATCATTGATGGGCATTTGGGTTGATTTCATGTCTTTGCTATTGTGAATAATGCTGCAATGAATATATGTGTGCGTGTATCTTTATAATAGAATGATTTATATTCCTCTGGGTATACATAAATATATGTATATCTTCCAGAAGATTAATAAAATAATTTAAAAAACAACTTTCCTTATAGAGTATTAAATTTTGTAGTTCTAAATACATCAGAACGATCTTTGGCAGGAATAGTCACATTTCCTTTGCTTACCTAACAGCTGTTTCAGATTTTAGCACAGGCATCCAGAAATTCCATTAAGTTTCCAAAATCCATATCAGTTATACTTTCCCTATTACAATATCTCTTATTAATGCTGGTGTAATTGCCTGGTTTCTAGTCCTAATTTCATAGTCCCCACAGACTTCATAAGACTGTGAGGGCAAGGTCTCTTTCTGTTATGTCATATCCCCATAATCTAGCACAGTCCTTGGCACAGTGTAAATATTTGTTGAACAAACAATAGAAGGGAAAAGGACGGATTAGGGTTAAAGTTGTGAAAATTGAGAGAATTAGACTTAGTTTATGTTTTTGAATGTGTATAGAAGTTGAATAAAACTTAATTATTTTCTTGTTCAGGCTTATGGGATAAAAGCACAAAGGTCTGCTGATTTCTCACCAGCATTCTTATCTACTACCCTTTCTGCTTTGGATGAAGCCTTGCATGGTGGTGTGGCTTGTGGATCCCTCACAGAGGTAAAGCAAAAATTTTTCTTACCCTCTTCCATTGACCTATGATCTTCAGAGCCAGGGAAAAAGTTTAGCTAAAAAACATAAATTATTTCTTGAACAGTAATCTGAATTAAATTATAAGCACTTCAGGGATATGGTTCTTCACTCAGTACTTAGTGTGGTTGCTCTGCAAACAGAGATGTTAAAAAAAAAATCCTTGCTGACTGATTAAAATCTACTTGGGTTGCTGTTTCTTTGAATTAACTTAGAAAGTGATAAATATTGCTGGGCGTGTTTATATATATGTTTATATATAATTCATATATATTGTTATATATACATATATACATACATATATTTATGTTATATGTACACATATGCACATGCTACATATATGTAATACATATACATGTCATACATGTAATATGCACAATAAATGACATTATATATTATATGATTATATCATGCCTATAATCCCAGCACTTTGAGCAACAAGGCAAGACCCTGTGTTTACCAAAAAAAAAAAAAAAAAAACCAAAAAACAAAACCCATTTAGTCACATGTGGTGGTACATGCTTATGGTCCTAGCTATTCAGGAGGCTGAACTTGAGCCAAGGAGGTCGAGGCTGGAGTGAGCCATGGTCACACCACTGCACCCCAGCTTGGGTGACAGAGGAAGACCCTGTCTCAAAAAAAAGAAAGCAGTAAATATTATGAAATAATATGAAACAATTGGGGGAATTAAAAAAGGATCACTCCTTATAAATTAGGAAGGACAATTTGAAATTTTAGTAACATGTAGAAAAATTACAGTATTAAACTAAAGTGAGCTAGTTTTACTTTCTGTTATAGATTAAATTTCTTCTAGGAAGTGATAGGTTATTAGATTGGTTAATACTGTTGCATAACAAATTATGCCAAAACTAAGTGGCTTAAAACAATAAACATTATGCCAAGGACTAACTCTGTGCCAAGGACGGTGCTTGATTATTTCTTAGTGTCTTTGGGAGTGGCTTAGCTCAAGCAGTGTTGGTGAGGGATACAGTCATCTGAAGCTTGGTTGGGGCTGTAGGATCTATTTCTGAGGGGGCCCACTTATGTGACTGGCAAATGGATACTGGTGGTTGGCAGGAGGGCTCAGTGCCTCCCCAGGTAGGCTCTGCACAGGCTGCTTGAGTGTTATGACATGATGGCTTACTTCCCCCCAGGGGAGTGGTCTCAAAGAAGGCAAGATGGAAGTGGTGATATGTTTGGCAACCTAGCTTTGGAAGTTACACACCACTACTTCTGCCACTTTATGTCATTAGAAGTGAGTCATCAAGTCAAGTCTACATTTAGGGAAAGGTAAATTAGCCTCTACTTTTTTTTTTTTTTTTTTTTGAGAGAGAGTCTTCCTCTGTTGCCCAGATTGGAGTGCAGTGGCACAACCCTGGCTCACTGCAACCTCTGCCTCCTGGGTTCAAGTGAGTAGTTGGGATTGCAGGCGTGCATCACCACACCTGGCTAATTTTTGTATTTTTACTAGAGATGGGGTTTCACCCTGTTGTCCAGGCTGGGCTTAAACTCCTGACCTCAGGTAATCCACCCATTTGGGCCTCCCAAAGTGCTGGGATTACAGGCATGAGCGGCTATGCCTGGCCAACCTTTTGAAGAAGTGTCAAGAATTTGAGGACATTTAAAAACCACTGCAGTTATTTTCCTTGAAAACTGCTTACAATGTGGTGACTTGATAGACTGTGTTTATCAGTGCTTGAGGACTTCTTGCTCGAAAGTTCTAGGGGCATAAATACTTTCAGGAAACTTCGAAATAAGAACAGATTCTTTTCTTACATTCTGATAGTCATAATTTAACTGTAGATTTTTTTTTCTTGGAGATAGGGACCCTGTTTTAGATACTATACCTTATAGTATAAACAGGGTATTTTAAAATAAGGTATTTTATCTAAAAATAAAATACCTTATTTTATTTCCTGTCTTCCAAGACAGATTTAAAGATTTATATGAGCTATGCCTAGTAGATCCTATTAAATAGTTGGTAAATAAATGAGTGAATTTGTTATTAATAAAAATGCACACACACGCATGCACACACAGACAGACACACACACACACAAAACCTCTGCTTTTGGAATATACTGCCACCAGGTGGTGCCAGAATCATACTAGTTTACACAAACTTTGGGCTGAAGTTCCACTTGATTAAATAGTTTATTACAATAGTGATCTGCAGTTATAAACTTACTTATTTAAATGGCAAAAACATTGAACTTAGGGAAGATTAACTGGGAAATTCTTTTTAAGAATTTTTTTTTAAGTTTTAGAATACTTTCAATACTTTTCGTTTAGCTTTTATTAATTATTTTTAAAAATCCAAACAGAAGTTACAAGCCTGTTAGGTGTTTTGTTGTTATCTAACTGGCTGACTTGGAATAGGAATATAAATACTCTGACTCCTTAGTAGGGGCAAGTTCTCTCCTTTCTGTTCTAGCTACAGGTAGCCTCTTCAATCTTTTTGGTTTTTGTTTTTCAATTGAGTACAGGGAGTGTATCAGTTTATGTTCAAACAAAGGGTTTTTTTTTTTTTTTTGCTTTTGTTACCATTTTTAATTGACAATAATTGTATATATTTATGGGGTACAGTGTGATATTTTGATACATGTATACAATGTATAATGATCAAGTCAGGGTAATTGGCATATCCATCACCTCAGATACTTACCTTTTTTATTTTGAGACAGTCTTGCTCTGTCGCCAGGTGCCGGGCTGGAGCGCAGTGGTGTGATCTCGGCTCACTGCAACCTCTGCCTCCCAGGTTCAAGCAATTCTCCTGCCTCAGCCTCCTGAGTATCTGGGACAACAGGTGCACGCCACCACGCCCAGCTAATTTTTGTATTTTAAGAGAGATGGGGTTTCACCATGTTGGCCAGAATGCTGTTGATCTCTTGAGCTTCTTATCTGCCCGCCTCAGCCTCCCAAAGTGCTGGGATTACAGGCGTGAGCCACCCTACCCTGCCCGGCCAATACTTACCATTTTTGTGTGTGTGTGTGTGTGTGTGTGTGTGTATTGGGAACATTCAAAAGCCCTTCTTCTAGTTATTTGAAAATATGCAATAAATTGTTGTAAATTATAGTTCCCCTATAGTGCTATAGAAAACTAAGACTTATTCCTCCTATCTTGCTATAATTTTGTATCTGTTAAGCAACCTTTGATTACCTTCCTCTAACATCTACCATCTCAGCTTATAGTAACCACTATTCTACTCTCCACTTCTATGAGATCAAGTTTTTTAGCTTCTACATATGAGTGAGAACATACAGTGTTTGTCTTTCTGTGTCTGACATTTTACTCAAAATAATGACTTTCCGTTCTATCCATGTTGTTGCAGATGACAGAATCTCATTCTTTTTTATGGCTGAATAGTACTCCATTGTGTGTATATACTTCGTATTCTTTGTCCATTTGTCTGTTGATGGACCCTTAGGTTGATTCCATGTCTTGGCTACTGTGAATAGTGCTGCAATAAAAATTGAAGTGTAGATTGACATGCTGATTTTATACTGCGGTTTCATATATGCACACGCACATACACACGTGTAGAAGTAAGAGAAAGCAAGCAAAATGATAAAGCAAATGGGGCAAAATATGAACAGTGGGTGAATGTGGGAAAAGAATACATATTCTGCATTCTGTTTTTGTTTTTAATTTATTTTTATTTTCAAATTAAAAAAGATACACAGTTTAGCTGTGTTACCTAGGCTGGAGTGCAGTGGCACAACCATAGCTTACTGCAGCTTCAAACTCCTGGGCTTGACGGATCCTCCTTCTTCAACCTCCAAAGTAACTAAGAATACAGGTGTGCACCACGACGCCTGGCTAATTTTTAAAATCTTTTGTAGAGATGAGGGCTTGCTATGTTGCCCAGACTGGTCTTGAACTCCTGGCCCTAAATGATCCCCTCTGCCCTGGCCTCCCAAAGTGTTGGGATTACAGGTGTGAGCAACTGTGCCTGGCCTTCTGTTTTTATTAATACCACTTTCCTGTAAGTTAAAAATTATTTCTAGATAAAAACAAAAAAACCTATGATGTTTGCTGTAAGTATTTGGTAGATATCCTTCATCAGAAATAAAGACCTTTCCTTCATTTCCTAGCTAAAATACTAATTTGGTGTTAAATTTTATCAAAAGCCTTTTTTCTGCATTGATTGAAATGATTATGTTATTTTTCTTCTTTGGTCTAATAATGTGGTGAGTAACATTTAATAGATTTTTCTGATGTTGAACTACTGTTGGATTTTTGGGACAGGTTCAACTTGGTCATGATATATTATCTTTTTTTTAAATAAACTGTTTTGGATTCAGTTTGCTAATATTTAAGATTTTTCAATATTTAAGATGGATATTGAGCTGTAATTTTCCTTTTAGTAGTGTGTTTGTCTGAATTAGAATCTATCTTATACTAGTTTGGTAGAATGGATTATGGAATATCACTTCTTTTTTATATTCTGCAACAGTTTGCATATGATGGGAATTATTCGTTCCTTGAAGATTTGGTAGACCTTGACTGAAAAATTGTCTGATCTTGGTATTTTTCCTTCTGAGAAGAGTTTAAAAAATTCAATTCCTTTAATGATTATAGGGCCACTCAGGTTTTCTATTTCTTCTTGGGTAGTTTCAGTGAATGAGATTTTTAGGAATTTGTCTATTTTCTTTATATTTTTTAATTTACTATAATAACATTATTCATTATATCCTCACAGCTCTTAAATCTGGTTTTACATGTGGTTTTTGTCCCTCTTTCCATTTCTGATATTACTCACTTTATTTCTTCCTCTATTTTAAAAAAAATCTTGTCAGAGATTTGACATCTTTTTAAACAACTCTGCATTTTGCTGCTGTTCTTTGTTGGTCCTCTCAATTACTTCTTTGTCTTCTACTTCCTTTATTTCTGCCATTCTCTTATTAATCTACTTTTATTTAACTTTTAGTGGGATTTTTTTTTTCTAACTTCTTAAATTGGACATTTA